TATCATTTAAAAGAAAGATATCATTTAACAGCCAAAGTTTAACAATAAAGTGGCACCAGAAAGAGAAGCCATAATGCTGTGTGTGGTTGGACTCCGACTTGCTTCCTTTTTGTCTTTTATCTAAACATTTTGACCTTCCTACCTATTGTAATTATCATATAGTACAAGAATTTCTTAATTATTATTTCATATTTATTACTTTAAGATTGTTTATTGGAAGTAGACTGACTGGCCGGTCCGAATGCCCCAGATGAAGAGATGTATATAGCGGCAGTCTAAAACTTTGATAGCGCGATATAGGGACATGGTACTGCTTATAATCGTTAAAATCACTGAAGCTTAATTACTATAAGAAAAACCTTGAAGTCAGAATGACTTTATAATAAAAAATATATAATTAAATTCAGCAAATCGCCTCAATTCAATAAATAAACCTGGCATTCTGAAAAGGTGGGAGCTTGTAGTTTATTGTTTATTAGAATGCCAAATCATAAAATGACTGCTTCACGACTGATTTGAGAGCGACCGCCGATGGGAAAACCGCTGTGTGAGTTCGAAAAGTGAGTTACAGAATCGCAGGGCAGAGCCGTATACGTTAAGCCGTATACGCCACATACGTTACCGCTCGGGTCTGTACGTCATGCTTAACTCGTTTTTTATATCGAAAAAATGTTCGAATTGAAGACATTTACTTTTTATGTTATAGGGATCACTTACACTAGGTACATTTAATATTATTAAATCGAATTCAATTTTCAAATAGCTTATTATCGCATAATGTATCAGTCTATCAGCGTATAAAATCGTCAATATTCCCAAGTGGCTCCCAGATAAGCTACTCGAATTCACCCACGCGACCCGAAACCCATATTTTATCCCAAGACAAGACCAGTAAATTATATTCTGAAGATTAATGTAGTTGAGTCTCTCCTGAGGTCATGCGTTTCTAACTATGCACATAAGTGCAAAAAAAAAACAATAAATGTTATTTTTTATATTAAAATTTTTGTGTGTTTCTGTGTGTGTCTTTCGTTTGGTATGTGTATGTCTATTTTCATGACAGGCTGAACTGAACAACTATGCCTTAATATAGTTACATTTATGAGACAAGTTTAAAAACAGCATAATCTCAAAAATTGTGCTGGGATTTGAAGTTTTAATTACTTCCTACAATTTCAAAATGGTTTCTAAAAACAGCGTTACATCGTACACAAGTGCGTCACCAACAGAAGTCAAGCCTTTATGACGTACAATTTTTTTAAAGTCTTCCTTTCGACAATCACAAACTTTCTTAAGAAAGCGTCTATTTTCGTAAAAAATATTTGCATTTATTTTCGTCTGGGCCAGGCAGTACGGAATTAAATTATCACTTGGCCGGTCGCAAAACTCGAAAACATGTATCTGGTACAGTTCGTTGGTACCGTATGACTTTAAGTTATAAAAGTACATTTTCTTTTACATACATCCCTTCATCACAGTACAAACAATTTGAAAGACAAGAAAGAACGTGTACTTGAGTAACAATTTTATGTATTATTAATAAACCAGTGGCTACAACTGTATGGGTCTTCCGATATTTTGTAAGAACAGGTGGATGCGTTCTACACCTGACACACATTGTCCAATTTAGTTCAGCGGTTTTCTTATAATTCTTTAGCAAATGAGAAGAATTTGAAAAATTAATTGGTGCTCCAAGGTCGGAACTCACGACCCCACGATTGAGAGCCACCCGAGATAATGCTCTTATCTTCTTTCTAGTTAGATTTTTCGATAATTAAAAAAAATCCAGTCCTTAGAAAATATTTGATAAATTGAATAAAACCAATGTTAATTGGTCCCCTCGGTAAGTTGAAGGCATAGTATCTTGCTCGCCAACACGCTACAATTTGAAGTCCGGGCTTCCCTACTCTATATAAATTGAATCAGACCTGCAATCTGCAAACCATGCACATACCTGTCAATTCTCAAAAAGAGATATCGACGTCATCATGACAATGATAGACTGAAGGACACTCAAAAAAAAGATTACTGACTTTTCGGAATGGAAATATGTGAATAATTGTATTACTGTTAATGGTTAATATATTATAATATAGAAATAATAAATGGCGAATTTTAATCTTATTTACATGAGGCTATTTTAACGCTTGTTATTTTGACCCATTGGAAATTTATCTCTAGTCTCTTGACTTTCAAATTATCGAGAGTCGACTGTAGTGGTAATTGTAGAAACAATTGTGTTTTTAATTACATATGTACTTATTATTCTATCTTAACAGTTACTACTAATGCAATAGAACGACACAATAAAACCTACACCGATTTCCTACATAATAAAACACTAAAAATATATATATATATATCTTACGAACAATATAGCAAGCAACTCTTGTGAACTCAGCCAGTGTATAAAATAATGTAAATATTTGTATACAATATACATAATACGTTAAGCTTATTCGCTATAACAATAGAATATCTTTCATACGTATGTATCAGAAACATTTTTTATTACCAGAGCTCAAAAGAAATCAGTATTTGGCAATATAAATTGTCAGTGCGTGGGATGAACGAATGTATTCAAATGCGCAATACGCCATATTACGTTCAATTGGCAAATTGTAGATCGCATACGAACTAACACGCTTCAAGGATCACAAATACTAATCTATAACGTATCAATGCACCGACTACGATTAAAAAAAATCAGTGGCGCTACAACCTCTTTATTTCATGGCCTCAGATTTCTGAATCTGTTTCATGATCATTTTTAATTCTATAGGCAAGTAGGTGATCAGTGCCTGACACACGCCGTCGACTTTTTGGATCTAAGACATGTCCGTTTCCTCACGATGTTTTCCTTCGAGCGAATGTTAAATGCGCACATAGAAAGAAAGTCCATTGGTGTACAGCCGGGGATCGAACCTACGAACTCAGGTATCAGAGTCGCACGCTGAAGCCACTAGGCCAACACTGCTCTTAGTCTAAGATTACTAAAAATAAAAATACTCAACGATATATTTTACTGTAAAAATCAGTAAATGTTTAGAGGTATTTTTGTCCTACAGCATTTGAATTTGGTAACAATGAAAATTTTATATATAGAACTCCATTTTTAATCTGTAAACGTGCTAGTTAACATAAGTCGGTAAACGTTAAAAAAATGCTATATATATATGTTGTTGTGATACCAAAAATTATGTATTGATAAGAAATAAAAAAAATACAGATAACCTATTGCTAATACAAATATATTAAACCGACCTTAGTGAACTTAAACGTGAATTTAAATTTAAGTTTAAAATAAATAATGGGCCGGATGCTGGTATGGGATGCAACCTGTTCAGACACACTGGCCCCTTCCCATCTACATGGAACCAACAACAGAGCTGGTGCGGCTTGTGATGCTGCTGAAAAAGCTAAAGCCTGCAAATACAGGGGCCCTTGGTCCGTGGGGTCTTAGCGCTATAAGACTCTTTAAGGAAAGATCAAAAAGGTAAGTCGACATCACAGGAGACCGAAGAGCCCGCAGCTGCCTCGGACAAAGAATAAGTCTATCTATTCAAAGGGGGAACGCTGCCAGTATCTTCGGAACCTTGTCTAAAGGGACTCCCATTAATAATATATTTTAAGGTTAGTTATTGTTCTTTTTTTTGTATTTATAAGATAGGTTAAATTATAAATTAGGTTTAGTTTAAAATAAATTAAATTCGAAGTTTGACTATGAAATAATTATTAAATTATTAATTGAATTTTTTAACACTTAAAACATAACTTGGAGGGCAATGGGCGGCTTGAAGGTGATCTCGGCAACCAAAGTAATGAGAAATAATATAATAAAAATAAGTTTCGACAAACAGAATATGACATAATAAACCTTTTTGCTTTTAATTATAAATTATAATTTAAAGCCTTTGAGATGTGTGCTGGAGGCGAATGTTAAGAATACCGTGGCGTGATTGCAAAGCGCACCAATGCATCGATCTTAAATCAACTCCAGACTCGAATTATTAATATATGAGAACTTGGGACTGATCGTGGATGGTAACACATAAGGCAAAAGATACGTAGCCAAACCACTAGGTTAAAACTCAAACTGTACACTGTAGAGAGGTGCTGGACAGAAAACGGTGGAAACAGATAGTTCGCTCCGCCTTCCTTGCTGACCACGACGCTTAGACATGAGCCAACCGAAGAGTGAGAGGAAATTTGACATTTGCATGATAAATTAATATAGCTGCTTGTGTTATTTTTAAATATGGCAACATATCAATACTCTAGTCATATATTTGCCAACTTGATATGGCAATGTCGTTAAATAGCACTCGGTACCTTAATGGTACAAAGTTCGCATTTATATTAATATCATCAAATAACTCACGGACCTATTACGAAAAACTCAAGATATACCTTCGTATTTTCATACAAATAAATATGTAAATTTAATGGACACTTAAATAAATTCTACAATTTATTCATACTAATTAATTTTAACGTGCTAAATTTATCCGGTTTTTAATGGTTATGCATGCACTTATTTTATCGTATGATCGTTTTTTTATTATGTATGTTAATATTATTATTATTCGGTTTTCGGTCCGGCTATAGTATTTACGTATATTGTTTTTTAATGTACCATTTAATTTCGTTAGACTTAGAGCGAGGTTCGAAGTTTAAAAAATATTTAGCGTACGCCATAACTTTCATATTAAAATTATCAATCCCTAACTACTTTTCCAAATAATGAACACAAATTAAATCGTTATTTTCGTAAATCTAGAAATATTCTAACTACACGCAGATTAAAGCTTAGATCAAGACGAGATATTTTCACTTTGGCGCCATCTTTTAGTGGATGAAGAAAACAAGAAAGAAATAGGTCGTAATTTTTAACTCGACATCGCATGTTCTATACAACAGCGATAGGTGGCGCTGTTTTACATTTCACGTATAACGTATAAAAATAATGTTCCAATTTAAATGCGATTTTATGCACTTACATGATTTAAATTGATGCGCCAATGATGCACTGTCGGCTGCGTGATGATAATCATACAGGGAACGCCCGTTTAAATCGCCAGCGTCGAAACCAAGCGTATTCATTAATCTGGAACAATTCATCGTAAAATTAGAACGGAAATAGCGTTAACGATTCTTAAATTTAAATTTTTAACAGAGCGATTTAACGTCATATATGTATATTATGCATGTTATATTAGGCAACTCTATTGAACACATTAATTTGTTAAATTATTATAATGTCTCTTTATTTTAATAGATTACTTAATGAAAGCAAATATAAAAATCTTAAATACTAAAATATATAAGTTATCTAAACAGAGGAATTAGCTGACCTATATTTTAATGTTACCCATAACACGAAAGGTCAAACAATGTGACCTACCATTATGCCTAATAAAGGTTATGTTTACCGGTATCTATTAGGTTGACCTTGAATGACCTATTGATATTTCCTTATTTTTTAAACGACTAAACTTTAAACAAATAACTCAACTACCAAACAACCTAGTTTCAACTTACATGTTCGGTACAATTCAAAAACCCCGCCATTTCTTTGAATTCCCAACACAAAACACCAAACAAAACACAATATCACATCCAAACCAAGAATCACATCACAAATCACTGCAGTCTGCACTTTCAACAATTTCCACCAGCTTGTGGGTTTATCGCGAACGAGCGTTAAACACAATCATATTTAACCTACAAAATACGTTTGAAGGTGATATTTTGTTGATATTATACAACCACGACGTATGGAACATGGCGAAGGTCAAACTTCACTCTACCAAGCATTACCTAAATTCGGTCAGGTAATAGCGTTGATTTTTATTAACGCCATCTAGTAGAGACACGACGTACTATGAAAAAAATTGTAGGTGGAAGAACTTTAGAGATATTAATACCATACATTTCACATTGCTTTTTAATTTATCAACATTAAGTGGGGCATACATTTTTAAAAATAGATGTATGTAACTGTATTTTTGTACTAAAATATCCGTAAAAGCAATTTATTGGACATTTACGACAAAAAACGCAATTTGACTTTAAAAAAATAGTTTAGCTTAGTAGTTAAGTCCGTGGCAGTGCGTTTGAACCCCACCTTTGACAAAGCATTTGGTTTACCATACATGTTTGAAACTACAATTTTTAACCCAAAAACATTTATAACAGAAAAAACAACAGAATAATTTTGCTTAGAACTAAAAGTGAAATCTGATTTTATTCAACTTCTTGTTATTCAACCTCATTTGACTGTTATTAATAAAATTAGTATGAATGTAACCAGATTTCAAGATTTTTATATTAAACATGCCGGTCTACAATTATCTCGTATAGCGCGAGCATCAAAATGTCTTGAACAAAATTTAATGGGATCAACACCTATGATGCACAGAAGAAAATGAAACAGACACAGACATTGTTGTCTATTTTAGTGTTATGTATTATTATTGTTTGGCATATATGCCTATATGTATATAAATACACTAATCCCGCGATTTCCGTACCCCATATAACGCGGTTTTCCCCCTATAGCGCGGAGCCGGCGGTATTTATGTAGTGTGCATTTTATAACTATGTTCTTATAAAATGAAACTAAATTTTATTAAATTTATGTTCCTAGTTTTTAAATTGTTTAAAAAAAACAGTTTTACGAGAATACTCCTACAAGGCGATTTCCTATAACGCGGTCCGGGTTTAAATAAAATAATTAATTATTTTATTATATTAAACGTAAATCTTACCCTTCATCCGTATATGTAAACTTCATATCCAGATTATGTTTAGTAAGAAACGTCTTACTATCAAGTGGTATTTCAATATTCGACGGGTGGGGTATTGGCCGTCCCACTGCCACCAAAGCGCCATTTCTATTTAACTTTACGCCATCTTTTTTTATCAATCTCATTATTTTCGGGTTTCTCTTCTGTCAGCATGTGGCCAGTCAGATGAATTACCTGTAAACATATAGAGATACACTTTTTATTGTTTATTTATCATAAAAATTAAAAACTATATAGTAGGTATTTTAAAATGATTATTCTAAATTTTTAGGTAGATTTTTGTGTCTCCGTAGATATTGCAGCGTTATCACAGCTCAACTCATATTAATGACATCGTTAATAGTCAAATACAGGGCGCAAAAATAGATTTTCGTTTAGTTTTTTGTAATTTGAACTGTTTTGTTTAATATTTGTATGATTTCTTCGTGTACATGTCATGTTTATAAGTGCTTGTCACATTAAAATTATACATTGTGGTTGTTTTACCAATTTATCAGTGTGCCGAGTGTTGGCAAGCTTTAATCATTTAAAAAAAGTGCGTGCGTACAAAGTACACATGTCAGAAGTGAAACTTCTTTGGCAAACTTATTTTTAAGTCTTGTTCATATTTATACAAACCTAAAACTTTAGATTTCCGCGACTTAGAGGGAGGGAAAAAGGAAGATATGTTTGGAATTTAATTGTCATTAAAATGTCTAGTGTCGAAAATTAATAAAATTTATATATATTTTTTAAATTTAAGTCTTGGATAGTAAAAACACGTGACATTTTTATTTAGAGTTAGCCCTTTGAGATTTGAAATATAAAATATGTACTTCATAAATTCTCTTTACGAAATTTTAATTTTAAAAATGGAATTTCTATAAGGTAATTCGCCCTCTCACTCTCTCTCAATCGCTGTCTCCCTTTTCTTCGACAAAAATGCTGCACATCTTCGTGACGTTTCCGAAAAAAAATCACCCTCATGCGCTTAAACACTTCAAAAACTTTGCCTATGGCGTTGACCTACATATTGTTTGTAGGCTTCGATTTCCGGGATAATCATTATTATAATATGTATAAAATAATGATCGGTGAACCATAGAAATATGCTTTGTACTTTAGGCCGAAAATACCTTTGAAACTCGCCTTGTATGTATTTCTTATCGTGGTTTAAATAGGCTAATTAAACATTGGCGGACCATTGTCATACAATATGACGTATATTCCGACGGTAAAAACTTTAAACGGTTCCTGTTTAACACGATATCTGTGCTTAGGTAGTATACATATATTATGAAGCCAAAATAAATAAATCAGTGGCGCTACAACCCTTAGGGCCTCAGATTTCTGTATGTTTCATGATTATTAGTTAGTAGATAAAAATTTTTGGGTCTAAGGCCGGTTTCCTCGTGATGTTTTAAATCACCGTTCGAGCAAATGTTAAATGCGCACATAAAAATAAAGTCTATTAGTTTGCCAGCGAAACTATGACCTCAGGGATGAGAGTCGCACGCTGATACCACTAGGCCAACACTGCTGGACAATGAAGCCATACAGGAGTTTTAATATGTAGTATACGAAATACAGTGTTATTTAATACAATTGAGGTGACTATTGAATTATCGTTTACACCATACTTATAGAGGAAGAGAAAGATATGTCGAAAACATTCAACGAAAAACACATCAATAAAAATTATATATTTTTTTCTAATTTAACCATTATAACCAAAGCGCATTTAGCACCTATTTCTATTGACAATTTACAAATATATTAGACTTTAATACCGAGAATTAGAAATCGCCGTTCTCTATTGATTGACCAAACAAAACTTTTTAACGCTTTATTACATCACGGACAGTTCAAGGATAGAAACTTCTCAATTATGATCAATACGAAATTTACTATGAAAAATGGTCTTCAATGTTTCGCTTAGGGAGCATTCAAGTATTACGTAACAAATTTTGGAGGGGGGGGTTCTTTTGTTAAACGTAACGATGCGGGGCAGGGATTGAATTACGCGTTATTGTTAATATTATTCGACTTTCCAGTACTTTACACCATATAATGGTAACTTTTTGGTATAAAGAGTCACTAGGTGGTCACGAAACGTTTTACTATACTTGGTTACAGTACTGTACTTGGGTACAGAAAAACGTTACGGCGCGTTATTGGGGGGAGGGGGGGGGGGTGTGTGTCAATAATCTCCTGTAATGTTTACATTCAGATTGAGAATAAAAAAAAATATAAAATAATAATATTATTATGGGCGACGATCCACAATCCCGTTATATTTTTTTCGGATTAGATGAGATACGTCCTATTGGAGAGCACGCCTGTCCAGGTGATACCTATTTAAGCGCCTCTAAAATGAACTGATATTAAACTTTCTAGGGAAGATGGAAGGGAGCACAGAGTTCCACAAGATTTTACAAGAAACGATGATCCAAATCGTGGAGAGCGGAACCCGGGGATGTCGATGGGGTGGAACTCCAGCGTGCTTTTAGACGAGCGTTGTTTGATGTCCAATTATCGAGGAAAAAATAAATAATAAATCAGTGGCGCTACAACGTCTTTAGGTCTTGGCCTCAGATTTCTGAATCTGTTTCATGATAATTTTTAAATCTAATAGGCAAGTAGGTGATCAGCCTCCTGTGCCTGACACACACCGTCGACTTTTTGGGTCTAAGACATGTCGGTTTCCTCACGCTGTTTTCCTTCACCGTTCGAGAAAATGTTGAATGCGCACATAGAATGTCCCTTGGTGCACAGCCGGGGATCGAACCTACGACCTCAGGTATAAGAGTCGCACGCTGAAGCTACTAGGCCAACACTGCTCATTTATCGAGAAAGATTACGCTAATTACCTTATACGAAGCAGATTTTAAATGCACATTTCTCCCCTTTGCCGTTATGGTACATTTGAGCCGCAGAAGCATGTCTCGCCTTCCCACTTTGGAGGCACGCAGCGCTTCCCGTATCTCGTCATGGTCGCAGGGGTGACTGAATTCAAAGACGCTTTGACCCATTATTTCCATCTGTAAAACAGTTAACTTAGAATAATTCAAGTATTCTAGTCTACAATCTGAAACAAGTTTTCACGTTTAAGTAATTTACGATTTTTTTGTAATTTTAGTTATATATTTTTATGTATCGGTATTAAAATTATAGTTAAATAAATTATATAATTACACGTTAAGTTATTAAGTGTAACTAATTCACTTAGTAATGTGTGAAGTTTATGGCTTCAACATCATAAATTACTAATATAAATAATAAATGTTTAAAGGGCATTGATCTTCAAAGGTACATTATCATTGAGGAAAATTATGCATAAACAGTAAAGCCACCTATATCAGTCACATATTAAAGCTACAAAGAGAATCCTATATATATATATAGCTTTTTTAATATCACCAAAAAGCCTTTACTAAGTTCATTGAACTCAAAGTTTTATTAGTCTAAAGATCTCTCTAGTCTTTGATTTCCGCCGAAACAAGAAATACTGTATTGATTATACTAAGTTTAAAAGGAAAAAGTGCGTCCGTACAAAGTAAAAAGTCAGAAGTGGAACCTCTTTGGCAAACTAATTTTCAAGTCTTGTTCATATTTATACAAATCTAAAACTTTCCGAGACTTAGAGGAAGGGAAAAGAAAGATATGTTAGGAATTTAATCGTCATTAAAATATTAAAAGTGTCGAAATTAATACAAATTAAAAATTTAATTTTTTAAATTTATTTCTTCGATAATAAAAACACTTGGCATTTTAATTTACAATTCGTAATTAAGTAATTTGAGATTTTAATACGAAATTTTAATTTTAATAGAATTTCTATAATGTAATTCGCCCTTCACACTCTCATTCAATCGCTCTCTCCCTTTTCTTCGACAAAAACGCTGCACATCTTCGTGACGCTAATATTATTATTATTGCGTTTCATCCGTTAAAATTTTACCCTCATGCGCCTAAAGAAGTTTCACTTCAAAAAAGTATTAACACTTATAACCTGTTAGCAATTAAAGACTATACTTAATCACTGGAAACACCCAGCAGGTTCCATTCCCGGGAAAAAATTGCCACTAAAACCTACTTAATAATGGTTAACATACAGAGATATGTGTGTCTCATAGGATGAATGCATCAAGACACAAACAGCATCTAAGAATACAAGGAAAAATCCATAGCAACTAGACACGTGTGTTAAAAATAACTGTGACCTAAACCTAGTTTTAATAGTCTTGGCCGTTAAGAATTTTTCTACGAAGCGACATGAAATTTCGTCAATATTTATTTTATTTGCGCCGTATCGCGGCCACACATACAGTATAACTTCAATCCTTAAGAAGTTTAAAATGAGAGCTTTTAAGTGGGAATCTAATGACTTTCATATGACAAAGCTCGTCAGCGCGATGGCGACGATTTTAGTGCCCTAATGACAGATAAGAAATACAAGAGACTTAATTAATTACAAAGTCCTTTATGTAAGTCTTTGACTGACTTTTGTATGTCAATATGTGACATAAGGGACCCTTTTGGATCCTTTTTAAAAATCTAACACCTTGACAATCGTGATACTAAACCAGTCGTCTTAAAATCAAGGACTCAAACACTTGTTTTTTTTTTCGTATAAGTACCTGTGATACACCCAGATGTTCTGCAATATTCTCGCTACAGTACACGATATCGCCCTGCTGAGAGAGCACCAGAACGAAGCCATCCAGGGCCTTCATATAGGACAGTTCAGATTGCACCTCCTCCAGACCTTTGGGGCTCTGCAGCGTCGGCGCATCTGTGTCAGCCGGTACTGTAATTGACAGGTTTACAATTACAATAATTCTTAAATACAATTTGTAGAGGACATGGGCTCATTCCTTTAGATTTACTATTCACATAGATTAGTGATCATCGAATATACACCATATTTTTTATATAATAGGGAAGGCAAACGAGTCTTTTTTTGGCTATAAAACGCAGAACACCTATTTTAATGGGTGCGTTGCCTTTAAGAAAGGACAATGCTCTTGCTAAAATAATTCGGCTATTCGTGGGGTAAATTTTGATAACTTAAAATAGCTTAAATTAATAAACAGTTTTAATAAAATATAATAATGTATAAGTATTTTTGTAAAAACTTCAGCAGCGCAGCGTGGGTCAAATTCGAACTAAAAAACAGAATTTAAATGTTAAACATTCGATTATCGTATTGAGGCTGTATTCAGATTTCTGCCCCGGATATAGGGCAGGGCAACCGGCCAGTAGCCCAGGGTCTTTTACAAAAGTGACCCCCCAAATAGACTTAATAATAATAAAAGAATCTATAATTGGTTTCACAATAAATTATTTATTGGAAAACATTACTAAAAAAAAATTATCAATTTTATCCTTAATTTGTAGCATTGTGTTTTTATATAGTTTACTGGACCATAACAATAGAAATATTTGTTTCTAAACTGTGTTATATTCTACAGCCTTTTATCGTCATGTTCATTTTTATCGAAGTTATGACATTGCGATTGACATATGGCGATTGACACCTTAGTAGCCCAAAAATCGACAGCGTGTGTCAGACACGGAAGGCTGATCACCTACTTGTCTATTAAGAATCTAAAAGAATTACTACGAAACAGATAATCTAAGCATACAGACAGTGCGATGCTACCTTGTAATATAGATAACGAAAGATAAAAGCAATTAGGAAATACATAAAATATTTTTTTGCTGGTTGCATAAAGACAATTTTTTACGTGAATTACTAAAAATCCTATTCGAAGTAATATAATGATCTTAAATATATTATATTAGGTATTTTAATACGTTGTTTACTTACTTTTACATATAGATATCTAAAATATGTTTGTAAGTGACAAAAAAATAATTTTAGTGAACCCGTCCATGTTTTGATTATTTTTAATATTTTTTTTTGTGTGTGTCCCATTTTGACTAATATGTATGTATGTTTGTATAGGTATATAAAGCGAGCTGTAGAAATTCTATTAAAAAAGTATTCTGTCATATTATTGTCCCTAAATAGAGGCATGTCTGACATGCCTGTAAGAGACGACAGGACAAGAAATTTTTATTTATTTATGTAGTTACGTTTAACATATATAATAAAAATATTATAGACTATATAGGTACATATTTTTGTTAATGAAAAATAACTGTTGCCTAGAACTAAAGTAGCAAAGTTAGTGGGATTTATGTACCACAAGGTAAATAACATTTTGTTTGAGGGAATCCCGATATCCACTCAATAAGCGGAATTATTGTGCAAATACGAAAATTAATAATATAATTCATCTGAATTTGGAGAACTTTGGAGTATTAAAGGTCCGAAACCCGTTACTATACGCTCTTCTCTATCTTGTTATTACACTGAATTCTATATATCGTCACTGTAGAATGATAACCTCATATGTCAAAATATTTTAATGAATATTTTACTTAAAAAATGATTTTAAAATGATCAAATAAAATAATAATTGTTATTTTATTATTATTTTATTGATAATTTTCTTATTATTTATTTTTGATTTTGATTATTGAGTCGAGAAAGAACTGAATGCATTGGCGACGCGGTTGACGACTCAGTCTGGCGACGCAGAGACGCCAAACGTAGCCATGGCGTCCCGGTGAGGCAGAGGCCTTATGTCATTTAACTGGTATAATCATGAAGTAAGGACTTATTTATGTTATTAATAAATAAGTCCTTTTTACCATCTAAAACTATGGACAAAAACACATAATAGCAATCTCTTCACGACGTTTTCCTTCTTCTTCGCGATGTCATCATGCTTCGACACAGATTACAGTGTAACTTACAATTTGTTTGAATAAGTGCAATTTTTTTTTCGATTTTCTCATCTGCGCATGCCATGCTAGATTTGAGCCAGCTGACAAACTAAAAAGGCTTCAAGAACACTCAATTCTAATACGTGTATATAACGTCCCCGTCTACCTAGCAACCTACCTGTATCTACCATCAGCACCGGTACACTGGTACTCCAATCAGCTATAACGATTCCAACTTAAAGAGTTTTTGTACCGCAACAACATACAATATCACCGCTATATTGGAATTGGAATTTAAACAATTTAAATTTAAAATAGTATATGAAAAATTGCGGCGCCTCACAAAGATTTAAATAAATTTTACTAGACGCTCTTTGGAAAAACCAAAACCATAAACCATAGAGGCATTATGACCGCTGCATAATAATTTGATTACTTTAATGCTAACAATGACGGATTGTGGGTCAAATACATGCAAATATAGAAATGACGCGTGCCAAACAAACGCAGGAAACTGCGGTTCGCATCTATTAAAAAAATTATGAATTGGTATTCTTGAAAATGAATATATTCTTATTACTTGGTAGTCTTCTAATCAATTGTTGCTTACTGTAATTTAAGTATATTTATGAGAATTCTATAAAAAAGGTGGATAGAAGAAATAGAAGCGGTAGCAGGAAACGAATGGAGAAAGAGAGCCATAGACAGAGTCAGTTGAAAAAGCTTGAAGAGATCTTTCCCCGTAAAGGGGTTCTGATCGGTACTGAAGGTAGCTTAGGATCAAAGTCAAAGTCAAAACATTTATTTCAATTAGACCACCTAAAATGGAACTTTTGAACGTCAAACAAAATAAGTACAAAGAAGATTCTAGTTGCCCCTTCCAAAAGGTAGTTTCGTGTGGAGAAGAATGGGCAAGAAACTCCACACTTACTCTTTTAAAATAGGTTTACAATATTTTGTTACATTTGTTAAATAATTATATGTGAAGACAATGTACTCTTAGAATAAACTACTATATAAAAAGTTAGTATACATGTTCCTCATATATTTACAATATCGAAACCGTAGAATATTTACATTAAAGAGTAATAAAAAAAATAAAAAAAAACACAATAAAACAGTGTGTGAGGTAAAATAAAATTATTACATTTGTAGCATTATAAAAAAATAACAAAAATATGTTAAAGCAAAAAATCAACCAATTTGATTTTGTCCAGGCTCTATGATTGTCCTATGGAGCAGGACCAGCAGATATAGGATAACAAGTAAAAAAAATAAAATATATAACAATGTAAAATAATCTAAGCTGTATGTTATATTTTTTTTTGTCATGATTGGAAATAAAACGGGCTTTATTATTATTACTTATGAGTATTCGATTCAATGAAAAAGTTTAGTAAGGGTTTCGGTAATTTAATTATATCTATGAGTATTCGATAAAAAAGGTGGATAGAAGTAATAGAAGCGGTAGCAGGAAACGAATGGAGAAAGAGAGCCATAGACAGAGTCAGTTGGAAAAAGCTGGAAGAGATCTTTTCCCGTAAAGGGGTTCCGATCGGTACTGAAGGTAGCTTAGGATATAGGATAACAAGTAAAAAAAAAAAAAATATATATATATATATAACAATGTACAATAATCTAAGCTGTATATTTTTTTTTGTCTGGAAATCAAACGGGCTTTATTATTATCAATGAGTATTCGATTCAATGAAAAAGTTTAGTAAGGGTTTCGGTAATTTAATTATATCTATGAGTATTCGATAAAAAAGGTGGATAGAAGTAATAGAAGCGGTAGCAGGAAACGAATGGAGAAAGAGAGCCATAGACAGAGTCAGTTGAAAAAGCTTGAAGAGATCTTTCCCCGTAAAGGGGTTCCGATCGGTACTGAAGGTAGCTTAGGATATAGGATAACAAGTAAAAAAAAAATATATATATATATATATATATAACAATGTACAATAATCTAAGCTGTATATTTTTTTTTGTCTGGAAATCAAACGGGCTTTATTATTATCAATGAGTATTCGATTCAATGAAAAAGTTTAGTACGGGTTTTGGTAATTGATATGAATTAAGTCAAAGAGCTTTTTCACCATGCCTAGGTACGAAGAGGCTTAACGTTCAGTTATTTTAAATATAATATTTCATGCTATTCATTTTATCTCATCTCAGAAAATATTTGGTAATAAGAAAATAAGAGCCGAGTTTTGCAAGTTCTTTCCGTATACCCTTGATTTTAGAACAGTCAGCAAACATTTTTTACGTTCGCAAACAAATGCTAGATCAATAAATATTTTGACTCTTTCCGAATCACAATGTGTCGGTTAACCGCAAAATATTACACATTTTACAATAATTTTTCGAAATATGAAATTAAAAATTGTTTAGACCTTATACACACACATTGAATATTACATTTTTATCATTAAATAGTGGTTCACATAATATATTTCCTACTAGTTAAATATTATAAAAATCTCCAGTGATGTGATTATTTCAAAATCATTTTTTAAACATATGTTGTATGGTTATCTACACCTAACAGATACGTTTAAGAATGATAAATTTAAAAAAATATATGTTTTAAAAAGATAACATTTTCTTGAATATAAAAGGAAATATTATGATTAAATTATTTTTATCAAATACTTTATCTTTTGTTCTGTTGCTATGTTTTTTGAACTTACCTTTTTCTATCCACAAAGCTTTAGTAAGTATACTTAATAAGAATTTTCATTTAAAATCGCTTCAATTTCCATTTACCTACTTAATTGTAAAGAATAAAAAAAAGGTTGATCTGTACAAAATAATATTGTTTTTTTTGAAGTTTTACTTCTTTTGGCGCGTTAGGGAAAAATGATGAGAGTAAATTTTTACGATGCGCGCGCACACCATCAATAAAACCGACACCCTGAAGTTAGCTATAGTCCAAATTGTCATGATTTGGCATACGAGCCCACGCGACAGCCCATGCACACCCCTTTCATTGGGTGCGGTGCCGGCCTTTGTTTTTTTTTAAACAGTTGGATGTCGTATTTCCCAAGAAATACCCCCTAAATTCGTTACATACTCATACTCTCCCAAATAGAGGCGATGAGATACTTCTTTTTTATTTACAAAAAAATATTAAAACAAGAAACTTACGCATAGACACAACATCACGCACACGAAGGTAGGAGATGGCCAGTCGCATCACGGATGCCTTGTCAAGCTGTTCCACCTCCTCCTTCTTGGCAGGCAGGGCTGCAGTCAGCTCGTTGAATATCTGCATCTCCTTAGTGCGCCGACACCGAGCTGCCACCCGAGATTTCTCCTTCCTCTTTTCATTATTCCTGAAAGAAAAATTGTAGCATTGAGTCTAGCAAAATCTTCGTTTAGGTGATGTTTTGTGACATGTCCCAGCAATAGCACAAATATGGTACTACATACAGTAATCTTTATTACGCAGTAGAACCGGTTCGTGTTATAGCAAATTGCGTTGTATGAGTATTCTCGTAATACTGTTATTTTAACAATTCAAAAACTAGGAACACGAATTTAATTTAATTTTATAACAACATAATTGAAACTGGTGCAAAAGTACGTAATTATGGAATTGACAAATCATTATAAATTACACACAACAGAAATTTAACTTGTATCTCCACGTTATAAGGGGGAAATACGAGGCGTTATATATGAGGACGTAAATCGCGTTTGACGAAAACGCTTTATAGGGGAAATTACTGTGCTAAACAATATTTAACGGTTATTAGACATTCGTAACATAGATGACAGACTGTATACACTTTAAAACTAATCTAAGTCAATAAAAGCTAAATTTGTATGCAACAACGCGCAGACGGTGATCAGCCATTTTCTCCAATAGATATCCGATAAAAACGTTATCATAAAGCCGTTATGTAATCGGTTATCGAGCAAGGTTGAATTTGAATAACGATCCCTTATTTCCTTAAATTTTTCTATCTTTTAGATACTTAGAAAGAAATACTTTTTTTTAATTTTCTAACCATAATATAATAATCATTATCTATGTAAATAAAAACGAATCGCATTAATGTTGCTAAGCCCAACTCGAAGACGGCTGGACCGATTCGAGATTTTTTTTTATTGCTTAAAATCTGAGAAAGTTTATTATGCAAAGATAAATTGGGGAAAAAAAGGTTTTATTCTGGAAAAGCGAATAGTTTACATGGGGTAGCATAGCAAAATGTTCCATATGTTGGTATGTAGCTACTAAAAATGAAGGCTATAAACAAATCATAAGACGAAACTAAGTCCGCGGGGAAAACATAATTTTATATAAACTAAGTTAAATAAATCAGTGACGCTACAACCTTTTTAGGTCTGGGCCTCAGATTTCAGTACATGTTTCATGATCATTTCTTAATCTAATCGGCAAGTAGGTGATCAGCCTCCTGTGCCAGACGCACGCCGTCGACTTTTTGGGTCTAAGGCAAGCCGGTTTCCTCACGATGTTTTCCTTCACCGTTCGAGCGAATGTTAGATGCGCACATAGAAAGAAAGTCCATTGGTGCACAGCCGGGGATCGAACCTATGACCTCAGGAATGAGAGTCGCACGTTGAAGCCACTTGGCCAACACTGCTCGTCAATATAAACTACGTAGGTATTTATATGTGAAACAATTTGGAGTAAATAAAACATGATTTTCACTTTTATATGATAATTCTGATAGGGTGCGATAATGTCAAATACATTGTAACTTCACGATATTTATTGATTAAAACCTAATACCCACTTTTCTTTATAAGATTTCATAACAATGATGTGTACAAAAATAATGTAATAATAATATAGTTTTTTTTGTTATATTTATGGCGCGTCTAAACGGGACATGTTTTGCTGCAATTGATGGCTGCACTGTTGGCCACTAATTGCCCGGCCATTACAAAAATATTTTAATGCAGCTGATGGCCGAACAATCTATGGCTGGGCATGGGCAATGTGTTGCAATATGTCTGCAATAGTATGGCCCATGATGCAGACTCCTTAACGGGCTACACAAACCGGCAACAATGGCTGACGAAATCACACTTGTCGCAGCAGCTTATATTGTTTTAAAAAAGAAACAGAAAAAGAAGAGATTGTGGATTCGACCTTACTTAAATAGGAGTGAAACTGTAGACAATTTGAGTCTAGAAATATGCCTTGATAATAAATTATTCAAGAACTTTACTAAAATGTCAAAAGCAGTCATTTTTAAGTAGTAACCTAACGTCAAAATGCAGCTGATCGCAAAACACAGAATATAGCAACAGGCACACTTCACTCATAGCAAACTTCATGTCGCGTAGAAAAGGATACACTGTGCCATAACCAACAGAGTGACTGAAACAACAATAGAACTGGCTGTGCAATATTGCAGTTGAATTCGATAGCCCAGCGATCGTCCGGCCACCCATCGGGGCAACATCGTCCATACAGTGGCTATACAAAACATGTTTGGCTATATGGCCGGGACATTTCTGCAATATTGCATAGTGTGGCTGCTATTGTTTGCAATGTTGCCGGCCACAGTGTTGCAGCCATCAATTGCAGCAAAACATGGCCCGTTTAGAAGCGCCATTACAATTTTACACTGTACAGGTATTGGCAATCTTTGTGAGAGCCCGTTGTCTGTTATAGGACTGTAGAAGTCTTGTGGTGACAGGTCACCAGTCTTCCATCGCAGAAAATATTCAATACTGCATTAATTAGTATATTAAACCTAAATTAAAGAAAAAAATATTTTCCATATCTTCTGGAATTATCGAAATTACCGAATTGGTCCAGTCGTATTCGCGTTTTGCTATTAATTTTTATTTAAATATAGATTATAAAGACGATATAAACTCGTTTGCCTTAGGAAAATTATGTTTTAAGGTCGATTACAGTTAATAAAATGAAATTTAATTGTGTGACTTAGTCGGTACACTTATAATTCTGTAAATTAATAGACGTGAAGAGAATTGTAGCAATTTGTTAATCAATTTTTTAAGAATTCTTTAAAAACCTGCACACGGCCAATCAATAAATGTTTGGCAATAAAGACAAGATTTTTTAAAAATTAAACCAAGATACATTTGTATCTTTGTTAAAAACCTAATAACGTGTTTGAACTTCTCTTGCCAAGATCAGAACTTGAATCCTTCTGGGCATGCTTTCCACGACGTTTTGAGGAACACGTTCCCATTCTTCTGCAATGACTTTTGTAAACTCCCTGATATTACATGGAGCACGTGGCACTAATCTTACTCGTATATTTAAAACATCCCAGACATGCTCAATCGAGGTCAGGACGAGCTGGTCATTATAAACGACAGATCCCAACTTCTTGCATGTTTCGTGTTGTTCCCACGAGAATGTAAGTGCGTGCTCTTATTTCACTATGCCTCCTGCTGATAGAGGACAAATCTTTGTTTTTAATTTATTTTATTATTATTTATTACTTCAGATGTCATGTGTAATGGTTGCAGCTCCTTACTAACGTTGTGTAAAACAAAAAACTTGGCGAATAAAAAGAGTGGCGGAGAGTTTATTGTCAGTTTTTCTCTTCCGTTCTACGCCCTTGATTTGAGAACTGGCAGTAAATGTAAATTATAAGCATTTCATATATATATCTTCTTTTTTTGACGTTCATAAGTGTACATTGTGTTACCTATATGAATAAAGGATTTTGACTTCTGACGTTTCCACGTCGAGAGAATGGTGCAAGCGAGCATTGTCGTCCATAAAAATGAAATCTTTTTCAAGAGCCGTCAATTCGAGTTATGCATGTGGAATTACGATTTCCGTTATGTACCGGTGTGCATTTGATGTTCCATTTTCTACGAAAACGAACTCTGTACGCTTCGTCGAATTAATTGCCGCCCAAAACATAACGGAGCCTCCGCCATAAGGGGGGATATCATCGAAACACGTATTAGACCCGAAGTATGACTTCTGTATATCAAAAACGTATTTGAGCAGTGTTGGCCTAGTGGCTTGAGCGTGCGATTCCTATCCCTGAGGTGGTTTAATTCCTGGCTGTGCACCAATGAACTTTCTTTCTATACGCGCATTTAACATTCGCTCAAACGGTGAAGGTAACATCGTGTAGAAACCGGCTGGTCTTAGACCCAAAAAGTGGACGGGGTGTGTCAGGCACAGAAGGCTGATCACCGGAAACAGATACAGAAAACTGTGGCCCAGACCTAAAAAGGTTGTAGCGCCACTGATTTATTTTTTTAAATAAATCAGCGATAACTTCATCGTAACAACGTGTGTTATTAAGGTTTTGTTATATGTTTATTTATAAAGCTTACTTATAAAGATGATGCTAGGTTGTAAAGAATATATATTACATATAAAGAATACAGTGTCTTTGTCCTTAATACCTAATGGTAAATAAGGTTTGCTAGAATGTTCCTTATGTATATTTAACCTAATTGCATCGTTAAATATATAGACGATATAAAGTATTAAATCATGTGATGTCAAGGAAAAATTGATTTAAATTCGATTGTCTTTCATAATATCTAATATTATAGTATATAAAATTCTCGTGTCGCGGTGTTTGTAGTTAAACTCCTCCGAAACGGCTAGACCGATTCTCATGAAATTTTGTGTGCATATTGGGTATGTCTGATAATCGGACAACATCTATTTTTCATCTCCCTAAATGTTAAGGGTAGTCCACCCCTAATTTTAATTTTTTTATTTTTAGATAAATTTTTATTTGTTATTTTTTTTATGATACAACATTAAAAAATACATACAACCCCTAATTTTCACACCTCTACGATCAACCCCTATTTTTTTATTATAAATGATATACATGGCAAAACGACGTTTGCCGGATCAGCTAGTAACATATATTTTTCTTCGTTCATATTTCAATTTATATTCTAATTAGTTTAATTTCTTGACAAACCTTGATAGGTGTTAAATATACTATTTTTTGTAATAAAATAATAACAATAAAATATTTTATTTAGTTTTAAAATTAAGTAAGTACATATATTTATGCTGCACGTATGAGACCACGGTTTGTTGCACAGTACTCTGTAATTGTTATCATACTGTCATAATTATTATAATTAATACGTATTTATGCACTTACATATTACAATGATATAAATAAAAATGAATCGCAAAATATGTTACTAAGTACAAAACTCGAAGACAGCTGGACCGATTCGAGTATTTTTTTTAGCCCTTGAACTCTGAGGAAGGTTATTATGGTGTGAAAAATTGGATAAATTACATGGAAATACCTAAAATCAGTTTTAATTTCGAAAAAGCAAACAGTATGGGCATAGCAAAATGTTACATATGATAGTATCTAAGCTACTAAAAAGATAGGCAAAGTAAAAAAAACATATTATGGCGAAACAAAGTTCGCGGGGGCAGCTAGTCACATATATAATATACTAGTGGACCCCACAGACGTTGTCCTGCATGATATTAAGCAAAGTATGAAAGTACCGACTGCAGTGCCATCTGCCGGGCTGATTTGTGAATCTAAACCATTCCCAGATCCCCTTGAACACACACAAAAAATTTCATCAAAATCGGTCCAGTCGTTTGAGAGAAGTTCAGTGACATACACCTCACAGAAGAATTATATATATAAAGATATGCATATGCATATATATATATATATATATTACATAATCTATATGTTTGTACGTTCCTATCCATGTATCCTTTAATAGCCTTATTAAAAATAAAACTATATTTTTATATCGTTTCTAAAGTAGCTATATTAACTCAAGCATAACAAAAAATAAACTAATACAGGAAATAGTTGAAATAACTTAAAACTTGATTTAAGTTCTATTCAAAGTCTAAAATACAATTTAAAATTCTAACTTATGCTTAACGAATAAACAAATATACCAGATTTTCCAGAAAATCTGTGACAAAATAAAGCAATTTTTTAATACAGTGTTTTTTTTATTTTAAATAACTATTATATACCTTTTAGTGACAGCACACAACTTATGTCCCTTATCAACCTCCTCGGGCCCGCCCGGAACACACATTTTAAATTTGGAACACAACAAACACTTTGCGGAAATGAAATTATAATTTAAACGGAAAATCTGTATATTATTCAATATATTTACGGTTACATAGCCTACAACCTCAACACAAGACTCCTCTACCAAACATCATTAAACACTAAGCCACAACAGAAACCTGATCCATCAACTTCTCATTAGTCGATAATGTTATCATTGGCCTAAATGGTTATTAAGTGCGTCAACAAAAGAATCTATTTAATAGTTTATAGTTGGACTGTGTACCGATTCTATTAGAAGTAGAGATGGGAAGACATCGCCTGCGTTTGATTTGACTTCTAAACCTCAAAGATATGCCTCATACGATGTGACCTTAAATGGTATAACTAATTAACACCATATGTATTATTAAACACCTTCACATTTATAGAAAATTATGTTTTCTATATTATGTGTGCTTTGTGTTACATTATTCACATAACTCGCCAATCATCGCGCTCCTTCGAGAAAAGAGCGTACCAATTCTTTGAAAACTTGCGAGCCCTCTGGTAATCTGAGTGTTCATGGCTTAACATTCTCCTCCATCAGCCTCCTGCCTGTTTGTCCCTCCTCTGTTTATTTATAAAAAATAATAGACAATTGTTTCAAAGTCTGTTGCTGACCATGCTTGTTGAAAAGCACTAGAAACTTAGTTTGTTTTTAATAAACTCAACATTGTCTAACTATAAAACATGTAGGTACTTATTACCATGGCAACCATTTTTTGACAATGAATTCGTCTGTGTTCATAAAGTTTCCTGACGTTCTGTTACAATACCTTTTGATATTTGAATATGATTAAAAGAGTCTGCCTTCGTAATTTAATTTATTCTCTGCAATGGGTATAATGTTACAATTGACGCACAAAAACCACACGACGTGCTTGGATTGTAATATATACAAAATTTAATGACGTCGATAAAATATATTGCAAGACAATAACAATAATCTAGTGGCGCTACAGATTTAGATTAGGTTTGAAACATGTCCTTACGATGAATATCTTACTATCTTCACCAGTGTTCATTGCGCGCACATAAAAAAAAAATCATTGACACATTCTAACTAAGACAATATTTCATTCTAATTTCAGTAAAAATATTTTTAAGTAAGGCAATATTTGAAGATAAATATTTTGTGAGCTTTTTATACTATCGCGGCTTAAATATAAAAACACTCATAATTTTGCTAATTGCTATTGACTAATTGATTTGCTAAATGCTATTAACTTAAGACAGAAAGTCTCTTAAGTATGCTCTTAATTCGCCAAATCCTCGGCCTGAAAAAGCTTGCGAATTTTTTTTTATAGAACAGGAGGCACATCTGATGTTAAGTGATACCGCAATGGACACTCGATACTCGGATTATGTGTTAGTGACGGAAGGCTCGCAAATGCGATGCCGCCCTATAACTGTTGCTACGATATTGAAGTCGAATTCGTTGGAGATACTTCTGTTTTATTGCTTTAAACAAATTTTGGTTCTATATGAGATGTTAGTCATAACAAAATTGTCTGAAGGATAAACGCATACAGTTTAGGGAATAAACATGATAACGCGTGCGAATGCGATAGATTGAGGAAAATACACTTGAATCTCTTGCCATAATTTTATTCAACATCACCAATTACGGCGAGCAGAGTGACGTAAAAACTTGTTGGCGGCGGGTTTTTAATTGGCTGAACGGTAGCTGGGTTATTTTTTTCCATTTTCATAGAAATGAACAAAACTGCCAATGAGGAAATATCGTTTGTAGTTCGATGATAAACAATTACAATATTCCTTAGTCACATTGTTATTGTTTCATCTTTTGTTTTTGTACAGTCGACTCTCGATAATTTGAAACTCAAGGGATCAGTGGTAATTTCAAATTACCAAGAGTTCAAAATAACTACGAGGGGAACTACTAATAACTCAAGTAAATAAGATAGTACGGGAGGTAGCAACGTTTGAAAAGAAAGAATTTTAGGTCAGCTGATTTTGTGATATGTCTTCCTTCTTGCACTTCCGGTTAGAGTCTGGGCAGTCTGGCTGGCGGTAGCGGTTGCGTTCATTAGTGCGCATCCTATCTGTCCAGGTAATAATCCTGGATTTTAAAAGCATTTTAAGAAGCGTAATTTTTGATTTTTCCTTTTTAAATACGTCTACCTGACATACTTTTTTTATTGCCAGACATTTTTCACGTTGCTAACTATGTGCCAGATGCGATTTTAAGTTTTATTTTTATAAAAATTTCAAAGCATTTTAGAATGTCTGTAATTTTAATATTATGTTATTTAAATATAAGAAAAACTGAAAATGAATTTGCCAGACATTAATTCGATTGTTAAGTCTTGAATTAAAATGATAAAGTATTGCAGTATGATGAAGCATTGCATTTTAAGAAGCGTAATTTTTGATTTTTCCTTTTTAAATACGTCTACCTGACATACTTTTTTTTATTGCCAGACATTTTTCACGTTGCTAACTATGTGCCAGACGCGATTTTAAGTTTTATTTTTATAAAAATTTCAAAGCATTTTAGAATGTCTGCTAATTTTAATATTATGTTATTTAAATATAAGAAAAACTGAAAATGAATTTGCCAGACATTAATTCGATTGTTAAGTCTTGAATTAAAATGATAAAGTATTGCAGTATGATGAAGCATTGCATTTTAAGAAGCGTAATTTTTGATTTTTCCTTTTTAAATACGTCTACCTGACATACTTTTTTTATTGCCAGACATTTTTCACGTTGCTAACTATGTGCCAGACGCGATTTTAAGTTTTATTTTTATAAAAATTTCAAAGCATTTTAGGATGTCTGTAATTTTAATATTATGTTATTTAAATATAAGAAAAACTGAAAATGAATTTGCCAGACATTAATTCGATTGTTAAGTCTTGAATTAAAATGATAAAGTATTGCAGTATGATGAAGCATTGCATTTTAAGAAGCGTAATTTTTGATTTTTCCTTTTTAAATACGTCTACCTGACATACTTTTTTTATTGCCAGACATTTTTCACGTTGCTAACTATGTGCCAGACGCGATTTTAAGTTTTATTTTTATAAAAATTTCAAAGCATTTTAGGATGTCTGTAATTTTAATATTATGTTATTTAAATATAAGAAAAACTGAAAATGAATTTGCCAGACATTAATTCGATTGTTAAGTCTTGAATTAAAATGATAAAGTATTGCAGTATGATGAAGCATTGCATTTTAAGAAGCGTAATTTTTGATTTTTCCTTTTTAAATACGTCTACCTGACATACTTTTTTTATTGCCAGACATTTTTCACGTTGCTAACTATGTGCCAGACGCGATTTTAAGTTTTATTTTTATAAAAATTTCAAAGCATTTTAGAATGTCTGTAATTTTAATATTATGTTATTTAAATATAAGAAAAACTGAAAATGAATTTGCCAGACATTAATTCGATTGTTAAGTCTTGAATTAAAATGATAAAGTATTGCAGTATGATGAAGCATTGCATTTTAAGAAGCGTAATTTTTGATTTTTCCTTTTTAAATACGTCTACCTGACATACTTTTTTTATTGCCAGACATTTTTCACGTTGCTAACTATGTGCCAGACGCGATTTTAAGTTTTATTTTTATAAAAATTTCAAAGCATTTTAGAATGTCTGTAATTTTAATATTATGTTATTTAAATATAAGAAAAACTGAAAATGAATTTGCCAGACATTAATTCGATTGTTAAGTCTTGAATTAAAACTATTGAAGAATCATTATCGTGTGAAGAACACGAAGAAGCTGATTCTAGGATAATTTTTCATATTTGCCAAATCGATTTTGACGCAGAAGTTGTTATACGCTGTTCTGATTCTGATATTTTAATTAAACTTCTGGGAAATATGGATCACCTGAAAAAATCTTTGAAAATTTGGATAAATATGGGTGTTGGAAATCATCAGCGTTACATAAACATCAATGAATTGTACCGAATTCTTGGTGACTCTTTATGCAAAGCTTTACCATGCTTCCACGCAATCACCGGATGTGATAACACGCCAGCTTTTTTTAGAAAAGGCAAAGTTAAGCCTTTTTAAATATTAGAAAATTCTGAGGAATACCAGTTAGCTTTTGATAATATAATTTCGGATGATAAAGAAGTACTTGAAACTACGTTTGTAACCCTGGAGAAATTTATTTGTCAAATGTATGGAGTTAAAAATTGTTCGATTATTAATGATGTTCGATTTCATTTATTTTCAAGTACGTTTAAGTCAAAAAAATCAGATGAGAACTTTGACAAAAAATTTCGAAACTTTGACTCATCCAGTTTGCCACCCTGTAAAGTGGAATTGGAACAGCATTTATTGAGGGTTCGTTACGTGACGAAAATTTGTAGAAATGCTCACTCAAAACATCCAACATCTTTATCTCCAATGGCTTTTGGTTGGACCATTAACGGTGACAAATATGATTTTGTTTGGTTTTTGGGAGATCAATTACCATCCTCAGTTGCAGATATTATTGTTCAAAGTAAGTGTTAAATGGAACATTTATCAATAATAACTAAAATGTTTAATAACGAACAAGAAAAATTACACTGTTTATTTTTTTTCTGTTGCAGATGATTTAGAAGATAACGAAAGTTCCCAAGAAGATGATATGAATGACACCGACAAAGACAGCGACGATGATGATGATGATTATGAAGATGCCTCTTTTTTGTGACGTCACTATAGGCTAAAACAACTTGTAAAACTTAATATTAATTATTCATAACTTACATTTAGTAATTAGGACAATTTAAATAAAGTGTTGATTATTAATTTTAATCAAATTTTATATTCCTTTTTATGCTCGTACTACAAGCATTATACTGCAATACTTTTCATGACTTTTACATTTTAATTCAAGGCTTAACAATCGATTAATGTCTGGCAAATTCATTTTCAGTTTTTCTTATATTTAAATAACATAATATTAAAATTACAGACATTCTAAAATGCTTTGAAATTTTTATAAAA